TTCCAATGGGCCGTCCAGCGTCTCCCATTGTTTCCAATGGGCAATCCTGTCCTTCTTTTTACTACATTCCTCCAAGACGTTTCAGAACGCATTGTAGAAACTGTACTGAAGATATTAGATCAGCCACAAACACGTGCACGCAAAAAAAAAAAGGCTCTTCAACCCTGGATCTCGATATCGAACCCACAGGTGACGCAGAAGATCCGTATAAGCGTTTGCACGTGTAGACAACTGGAGCTGCTGCTGCTGCAAACTGATTTTTCTTCCCCCAGGAAGGCAATTTAAAAGTTCAATATATTCCGTTCTTGAGGGGGCATGTAAAAGCTAGATATTTATTCCCTAAGAAGCGCTAGTGGTGCTTCATGGCGGCTTCTCCCGCACATGGCACAGCAACACCAGCGACCAGCCTCCCTCAGACGGAGGGGGAGGGGCCTAGGTGAAGCGAGAAAGGGAGGGAAGAAAGCCCGGCACTCTTCCCCCCTCCCACTAAGCGTTGCCGTTGCAACAGAGCGGTGACCGGGGTCGGAAGCTTGGCCGAACTCTCCCTCGGAGGCTCTCGGGCTGGCTTCGTTGACGTCAGAGAAGAGCGCGCGGAGAGCGGGTGACGAAGGCGGAAGCGGCGCAAGCTGCGGGACGCGATACTGAGCGAAGCCTGGCGCTCCGTTCTGCCCCTCCCCCGCAGCAGACCCAGCTCCGCAATGGAGGTAACGGGAGGTAACGGGAGGAACCGGGCGGGGGGGGGGGGTTCAGGATGAACCTTTGCCTGCTGCACTTCCAGTCTGGCCTCCACCGTCCCTTGTCCGTGGTCCCCAGCCCCAAAGTGGACATTGTTTATGAGGGTTAGCTGGGTTGGGTTGATCTCCTGACCCCAGAAATAGCAGGCACGGCCTTCTCTCCCTCATACCTAGGGTTGCCAGCCTCCAGGTGGTGACTGAAGATCTCCCGGGATTACAAATGATCTCCAGGAGACAGAGATCAGCTCGCCTGGAGAAAATGGCATCTTTGGAAGGTGGGCTCTATAGCCTTGTAGCCCACTGAAGTCCCCGCCCTCCTCAGGCTCCACACCTCAAATCTCCAGGTGTTTCACAGCCTGGAGCTGGCAAGCCCACTCAGCCCTCCAAGGACTAATTCCAGGAACCTCAGTATTTATTAACTTTCTTTTCTTTCCCTGGCCATTAAAACGATGGTGCTGACTTCTCTCATGTGATAGGTTCAGGGCTTGCCAATTTCTGCATCTTTATAAGGAGCAGCCAGCCATGCCGTAACAGGTCAAGCTGTTAGAGAACAGATAAAATGTGAGAACAGATTAAAAGTGAGCGGGCCTGTGGCTTAGTGGAAGAGCCTCTGCTTTGTTTTGTGTGCGCAGGTTGGTCCCAGTTTCAATCCTTGGCAACTTCAGTTAAAAAGAGCGGGTAGTAGGTGATGTGAAAGACCTCCACCTGAGACTGTGCAGAACAGGTTCCACGGCGTGCACGTCACCAGGAAGTGACGTTATGACGCCGGGCACGCTGGGGGCGGGGCCACGACCATCCGAGGGGGGGACTCTGTTTCCCCCTCGGATGGTCGTGGCCCCGCCCCCAGCGTGCCCGGCATCATAGCGTCACTTCCTGGTGACGTGCGTGTGGTGCGCGCACGCATAGGACGCCGGACGGGAGTCCCCCGCTTCCGAAGATTTTCGACTTGGCAACCCTACAGAGTGGACAGTACTGACCTTGATACATGAGTCGGACTATTGGTCTAAGGCAGCTTCATGAGCACATGTAGGGAAGGGCCCTGGGTCAGTGGTAAAGCATCTGCTTGGTATGCAGAGAAGTTCAATTCTTGGCACCTCCAGTTTAAAAAGTGTCAGGTAGTAGATGATATGAAAGACCTCTGCCTGACACCGTGGAGAGCCACTGCCAATCTGAGTACACTTGATGAACCAGGGGTCTGATTCAGTGTAAGGCACCTTCATGTGACCAACAGTACCACTCTAAACAGAATTATACAGTTGGCTTCACTGGCCTTGAAAGTGTGTGACTCTGCTTAAGATTTATTTTGTTTATTTATTTCATTAGATTTTTACCCCGCCCTCCCAGCAAAGCCGGCTCAGGGTGGTCCTGTAGTCCCTTGCTCAAGTCTTTCCTTTGAAACTTAATCAGATAGTTTTGAGATGTGTCACTGCCTCTGAGACCCAACCCCTCTGTGTTAGAGGGATAATAAACTTGCCATTATAAAGTTGGTGCAATGGGATGTGAAGCATTTCAATACTGTCAAATGATTATAAATGTAGTATTCTCATCATTTTATTTCTTTGCCGAAACTTCTTTATAAGCTGAGTACCAGTGTGTCAGACTGCTGTTCAAGGAACCCTAAATATAGTTGCTCCTGGGGCACTCCCCACATGAGTCTGGAGTTGGAACTCTGGGCTACTTGGTGAACATACCACCTCCACATCTTGCAAAGGGAACAGTATAATTGCAGTGCTGCTTGCCAAGTCTTGGTGCTGGAAATCTATTTTGATTGTCAAGCCTCAGCATTGTGATGTCTTACGAAATGTTACATACCTCCAAGCATGTGCTCAGCAATTACTGGAAAGCAACCAAAACCACACAGTCTCTGCATTAAGGAACATGGCAGTAATCTAATTACTTTGGGAGAAATCTTAGAGCCAAATTGGTGTACAAAATGTGTTTGGATCCTGTGCCAAGGGTGTTCAGGGTAGTGGTTGTTGGTCCTGCCTGTGTAGAAATTGAGCACTCATATTAAAAAATGATTTCAAAGTGCCCTTGTCTTGTCAGATTATGAAACCTTATTTGCTTATCCATGGATTTACCAGATTTATTTATTTTTTTGAGATGTGAGTGAAATCACGCTCGACTAACTTGTAAAACAGTGCTTAGTGTCACTTGATGAAAAATAAAGTTTAAACACACAAATTAAAAGGAAAGGTAGTTTGGGTTGAAAATTTTGTTGTAAAATGGTCGCAAATCTTATGAAGTCACCAAGTAGACTTTATTTTAGAGTACGTCTCCTTAGGTTAAAAATCTTCTCCTGGGAGATCTTTATTTGTTTTTATAGCATTTATCCCTTAGATATTTTGTTCAATTTTGTTTCTTGGTCTGTTTGCCTGTAATCTTCACTGGGCTGAAGGGAGAATAAGCTTCAGCTCATCCCAGACAAAATGTAAAATATTGGTGATGGGATGGCCCACTAATAGTATCCCATCTCCTTGAGGATTTTAGTGGTTGTCCTGGCTTCAATACTAATCATGATTTTCAAGGTAATAACTATTTTACTCTTTCAGAGTGCCTCTATCAGCTCCATTCTTGAAGGTGGAACTTGCTACTTTCATGTATGCCTTAGTAACTTCTTTGTTGGATTGTTGGATTCTTATTTTTAATCATGCTGCATAGGGATCTGTAATGTTGTGCTTACTTTTAGTGTTTTACATTTGTGTATTTTTTATTTTGTGGAAATTGTAAAGTAAGAACGGTACAGTGATTTATGAAGGGCTACTGTTCAGCAACTTGCATCGATACAGAACAGCAGACTGGCTCTTAGGTGTTAAGAGAACTTTTCTGGTTATAGTTCAGTCTCAGATCTTTTAAACCTTAAAAGTCAATATCAGTATTTTTAATCTGACCTGAAAACTGAAGAGCCTTAGTGAACACTTCTGGTCATGCGGTCAGACTACGTCATAAGGGATGGGCCACTCATTCTGATCTGCTGCCCCAAATGCCAGTCATTCTGTTGAGCTTCTCATGTAGCTGTCCCTGTGTTAGATCCATGAGGGTTCTTGCCACTGCGTACTGCTAATCATCCCCGTACAGCTTGTCTCTCACACACAACCTGGCCGGGTTGTCAGTATGGTTTCTCTCACATCAGCAATGATTGGGGGGGATAGTGAGCCCAAAGGACACTGTTCTCTCCCCTTTGATAGACCACAACTGTGCAAATAGTAGAGCACCCTCTCAGCTTCTTCCCAGCATAAGTCCCGTACTGAAGACAGCTGCAGTTGGTAATGAACAAGGAGTGACTGCAGAAGCCTTAGCTACCATTAAAACAGAGAGACAGCTGTGAAACAATCCAAACAGGGAACAGCATCAGGATGAGTTCCTAAGAAAAGTCAGGGGAATGGGGTTCTCGGCTCTTTTGTTTTGGCAAGTCTTCTGTGTCTTTGAAATTTGCATTGAAAGCAGAATCACAGTTCTCTTTTGCAGCATTCCCATGTTTAGTACAATTGTGCTGATCAAACGGCTGTCTGTTAAGCAGCCTTCAGTAGTGGAGGAGCCAGGTGAGACCAAGGAAGTTGGCAACCATGCAACAGAGCAGCTAGATGTGTACTGGTCCCTGCAGAAGTTTCTAGTGGCGTGGTGTTAATTGGAATGAAACTTAGCTGCTATCCTAAGCAATTTACAGAATGATTTTAGGATTGCATAAGTATTCTGTCAGGTTTTTAGAATGAAAACACCAGTTTATTATCTGTTGTGGACTGCACTACCTTGTTTTGTTTTATTTGCTGTATTACATTTTGATAGTTGCGAGCTGGTTTTAAGGACCTTTAGTCAGAAAGGCAGGAATGAAGACATAAGTAAGGTTTCAGTTCTAACGAAATGTTATTTTTACTACAGATGCAAGATGGTGGGCAAGAGACTGCAGCGTCTCCTTCCGCCCCTGGAACAGGAAAGTCAAAAGTAAGCTTTCTTTTCTTTTTAAAGACATATAATATATGCAAAAGGATGTTGCAAGCCTCTGTCCGTAGGGTGACTTGGTTTAGAAAAAAAATAGGATGGAATTGTTGGCTTTGCTTTATTACCAGGAAGAAAAGTCAGGACAGTCATTGAAAAAAAAAACCCCACATGTTTGGATGCTTCCCAAGTTTATTTGGCAAATACAGTTGGCAGCTGTTACTGGTAGCAGCTGGGCCAGCTTAAGAATAATCTGAAAGATCTAGCTCAGATATTTGGTTTTTCATTTCCTTATTGCTCATTCGTACTACAGTTAAATCAAAGAGCAGTTTTTACAGCATTCAGAAATTTAAGCAAAAGAACCTAAGCTTTATCGGTTTGGCATGCTTCTCAGGACATTTAGCCAGTTTCTCTGATTGTTAATCATTTCAGCGTGACTGTTAAACGCTTTGAGATGCATTTAGTAACCACTGTTGTGCAGTGACCAGCCCAGGATCAGGGTCTCTGTGAATCAGATGCCCTCTTGGGCTGCACGGTGCCATTATTTTTTTTGAGCTGGGGCTGACCTAGCTGCCTCTCTGATTCTTAAAGGGTCACAGGCACTCGCTAAATCCATGGGAATCCCCTGCATTTTCTCTGCTCTAGTATCCGATTGGCAATCATTTCCACGCACACGCACCCATGGTCTTTCTCATTTTTAAAAAATCAGCAGTTGACTATCATTGTAGCATTATAAAAATTTGTCTACCAGATATTATGAATTTTCAGCTTTCATTTTTTTAAAAAAAGATCAAGTCTCTAGCTTTTTCGTTATATAAAAAGAAATGGATATATCTGCAACTAAGGGAGCTAGAGACTTAGTTTCAATAAATGAATGCTGGGAATTTTGAGAATGTGATAGACAGGTTGCTATAATGCTGTAGTGATATTCAGATTTTTAAAAGACCCTTTGGTGAGGTGGAATGCCTGCTGCAGGGGACTGGGGTAGGGGTATGCACACAAAAAATCAGTATTTTCCGGTTTGGATATCCCAAACCTGAAAAATATTGGCATTTGCCGATATTCCTGAATCCCAGTATCGGTATGATACTGGGGTTTGGGAAGCTATTGGTATAGCTGAAATAATTTGGCTCAGTTATGCCCTATGGGGACAGATAATGATCCCACCAGTTGCGGGGGGAGGGGACAGCATGTTCCCATCATTGAAGGGAAGGCCAATTGCCTTCCCTTCAATGAAGGGAGCGTGCTGCCGCTGCAGTGCGACTCTAGAAAGGGGGGAATTAACCTTTAACCCCCCTTAGTCTTTGGAGTCGCTCCGCAGAGGTGGCACGCTCCCTTCAAATGTTTCTGCCTGGCACCAGGGCTAGGGCTGACCCCACGGTCAGGCAGAAGCTTCTCCTGGGTTCCCTTTCTCCTCCCCCCTCCTTTTCCTTCAACCCGCTTGGAGGAGAGGCGAAGGGAAGGGATAGAGGGAAAGGAATGGATCCCACGCGCTTCTGCCTGCTGTCAGAGGGGCTGGCGTGCTGGCCCCTCTGTCAGGCAGAAGCGCCTGAGATCCTTTCCCTCTCCCCCTTCGGCATCCCCGAATATGGAGGTATGCCCTAATTGGCCTGCCGAATCTGATTAAAGATTCTGATTCGGTACTTGGGCATCCCATATAATGCTGTATAGGCATTATTCCGGCTCCTAATCAGCTTGGCTGAGCCGAATGCACATCCCTAGACTAGGGTGGGGAAACCAGTTCAGATGTGGACAGATCAGGGCCTCCCCATCCACGTGGGTGCCCTCCCAGCTTTCCTACAGTTTTTCCAAAATGTTGCAGCAAAGCAAGTTAGGAGAAGACAGCGAAAACTCAGGAGGTACATGGAAGTGCCACAGTGCTATGGGAAAGCAGGGAAAAATGCACTTCCTATAATACCCTGACCAGGGCAAACCCCCCGGCCCCTGTGTAAGTAGCCACCTTCACCATGCAAGTAAAACAGGCTGCCTGGACTGGATCCCTCCAGAACAGAACCCCTCAGCTCTACATCTGCTTTGGTTCTGAAAGTCTTATGTCTGTTCCGAAAGTCTTGCAGGTCTATTGGGGGGGAAGCATTCTCAGACCCCTGAAACAGAACTGAAAATTTGCATGGTGCTTGCGAACTTTAGCATATTTCTTGGATGACCTTGTTGACGCAGACTCTTTTGAAGTGAATGAGGTTTCTGTGGGTGGAAGTAAATTACAAGCAGAGCCATAAAAGTTCCATAAGTACCTTATTTATTTAAAACATGTTGCCTTTCAGTGATGTAACTTACAAGGCAAGTTTCAAGACGACTAACATGAATGTGATTGAAGTACAATATTAAATACTCTAAATACTATTATCTAAAAACTGAATGGTTATTTGAAGCACATAGAAATAAACAATAAACTTTTGAATACTATCCAGTATCCAAGGCCTGGTGGAGTAAAAAAAGAAGTATTTTTTTTTAATTATAAATTTTATTTCAAATTAAAATAACAGTAACAATAACAGTAACAAGTACAAACAAGCATGGTATAACTCTATAATAAAGTTCAGGTCTCACAAATACAATGTTATAAAAAAGTAAACAGCAGAATTAATGAATAATTAACATATATGCTTCTTTAATTTGTGTAACATCTGCATTTTTACCATCTGTTCCTCGTAAAGAGTTAATAAACTTTTTCGTAAAAGGTAACCATTTTTGAACAAAGAATTTTTTATGTTTTGACATAGTAGAAGCTTCAGTATCTACTGTAATTTTATCAAAAATAAAGTAATCCCATGCTTTTTGTTTCCCCATCTGAATGGTAGGGATTTCTTTTTCTTTCCATTTTGAGGCAAGAACATTTTTTGCAGCTGCAAACATGGACAGTGCTAACTCCTGGGCATGTTTGGGAACTCTACAATTATCCCAAAGGTTCAATAAAATAATTTTTGGGCACTTTGGAATTTGATGTTCTATAATAGTGTTCATTTCCATTAAAATATGATCCCAAAATAGCTGAATTATTGGGCATGACCACCATGCATGGTAAGTAAAAAAAGAAGTCTTCATTGGCCTCCAAGGGAAGCTGAGTCCTGGTATTGGGTCCCTGAGCCAAGAAGATGCCAAATTTGTATCCATCCGAGATGGTGTTCTGAACAGGGCTTTCTTGGCAGATGTTGGAGAAATAGAGTGGAAATAGACACTTTATATGCTTGACGTGATGAAGATCATACTCTTATTAAACTACGATATATGTTTATGAATTTTACAGCTGGATACTTTACCCAAAGAAGAGCTCATCAAATTTGCAAAGAAGCAGATGATACTTTTACAGAAAGCGAAATCTCGATCTGCAGGTAACTTATTGAACCTTAAAGCGGCATGGCAGAGTGCAGGGGAGAAGAAGCAGAAGTGCCCTGATCGGTTGCCATTCCCTGCAGCAAATAAGGAGGGTGCTGAGAAAATAGCCTTTGAAATTCCTAGGAATTTCCTGCCTTCAGACATCATAACAAGCTCCATTTAAACACCAGTTAAACTCTCTGTGTGTGCAAGCACAGTTTCTTGCTGTGCTTGTGTGCACCCTGTCTTCCTCCCCCCAGCCTCTTCTCTTCACACGCGGAGAACTTCCCAGCTTGGTCCTGTTCACCATGATGTCTGAATGCTGGTTCCCTAGTGAAGTGGGTCCAGCTCACACATGCACACATTTTTACTATGCACCCTGTAGAATCTAAACTGGTATTCAACCAGTCTGTGTGGAGCCAACAAGCTCAAGGTATTTGGATGTCACCGGGGACTGGAACTTGATCAGGCCAGGAAGTTCTCTGGTCGTGGAGGGAGGGAGGCTGGAGGAGCTAGGGGTGTGCATGAGCACAGAGAAATGCTGTCTTTGCACCCACTTGGAGTTTCAGTGGAGTTTTGCAATGTCACAATGCAGCCCTTGTGGATGTCTGACTTGACCATGTTCCCACTGAAAACAGTGATGCTTAAACAGCTGCAGACAGAACTTTGTGCAGTCTGGAAATGTCACAGCGCTCTTCTTGGTACCTCATCTGATAGGATGCAGCTCTCTCATCTCTCCCCTCCCTCTTTCCCCTTGCATTTTATGCATTTGCCCTGGAAAATGACAGTGGGACGTTAGTCTAGCTGGGATTCCAGGAAAACTTTGAAGCAGCTCTTAGTTTCTGGTAGTTATTTATATCTAAAGTAGTCACAGTTGTTCAGTTATTGAAATGTAACAGATTTAGAGATCATATACTTTCCCCTCCTAGAACTGGAAAAGGAGATTGAAGAACTGAAATCAAAACCTGCCGCTGGAGGGACTGATGATATTATTCAGGTGGGAACATATCATTTTATGGTGCGCCATCTCAAGAAAAACAGTGTTCAGTATAATGGGAGTAATCTCTGCTTGCATCCCATGGCTTGGATTCCTCCTCTTAGCTGCTTGGCAGACCATTGATCTATGAACAAAAATGTAAGGAGTCCTGTCCTATCACTGGTATTTCTGGCCACTGTGTGACACAGAGTGTTGGACTGGATGGGCCTTTGGCCTGATCCAACATTGGCGTCTCTTATGTTCTTATGTTCTTAAAACAGCTTTTATAGGAACTCTCTCATCTTCTGTACTACTTATAAGAATAGAATAACGCTAAAACTTGCAATTGCTCTTCCAGAGGCATATTTCATTTCCAGTTATTTACTCGGTTTGGTGTAGACAGTTGCTGATCTGGAAAGTATGGCACAGAGCCGGAATCTTGTTATCTGCTTTAGACTTAATGAGTTATCACCAAAGGTTAGATCCAGAGTTCCATTCTACCAGTAGATGATCCTTCCATTTGGAGGAAGGCTTGACTGCTGGCACATCCACCCGAAGACTCTGATATCTTAGTAAGAAGTCTTAGGTAATGCCCTTGCTGCTCTCCTAGGTTCGGTCTGATGTCCATTTGTCAGATTTTGAGTGAAGGAAAGCTCATTCAACATGACTGTTCTGGGTTGTTCGGAGACTATTTTCACAGACTGGGTTTTTACTCAGTTTCTCAGGGCTGATAATGCTCCCAGCCTCCTTCCCCAGAACCAAAGGCACGGTTGCAGTCAAGTCCTCTTTGTCAGTGCTGTCTCATCAAGAACGATCTGTGTGGGAGGAAATAATTGTAGTTAACTATGCGATGGATATCTCTCTGCTGATCTGACGTAAGTGCATCAGGATCAGAGAGAATCCATGATTCTAAATGAATAACCCCAGGCTTGGCACTGAAGCGGGCGGATATGACCGTAATACTTGATATTGCTGTTGTTTCTGTGGCACGGGGGAGTGGAAATGCTGAGGGAAGAAATGAGATGCTTGCGAGGAGTAGCTGGGACTGGTGTTTATTTGCAGTGAGTCACTTTCTAATCTCTCTCTTCCGAAATTAGGCCCTCACGGAGAGACTGGACGTTGTTCTCCTCGAAAAAGCAGAAATCCAGCAACAGTGTCTAACTCTGAAAAAAGAAAATGTGAAAAGACAACAAGAAGCAGAGGTACTACATAAGCTCACAATACAAGAACTCGTGGGCAGTCAATGAAATTGCTGAGCAGTTGTGTTAGAACAGATAAAAGGAAGTACTTCTTCACCCAAAGAGTGATGAACACATGGAATTCACTGCCACAGGAGGTGGTGGTGGCTACAAGCATGGACGGCTTCAAGAGGGAATTGGATAAACATATGGAGCAGAGGTCCATCAGTGGCTATTAGCCACAAGGTATAGATAGGAACTCTCAGGCTGGGGCAAGGGATGGACTGTCTTCTTGGTGCTTGGGGGGAGCAACAGTGGGAGGGTTTCTAGTGTCCTGGCCCCACTGCTGGACCTCCTGATATCACCTGGTATTTTTGGCCACTGTGTGACACAGAGTGTTGGACTGGATGGACCATTGGCCTGATCCAACACTGGCTTCTCTTGTGTTCTTATGAAAGCATGGCTTATTTTCA